AAGCTTGTGTCTTCTTCCCTGCCCAGCACTCTTTTGGTTGCATACCTGATAAGGGTGCTCTTCAGCTTGGCCTCCTTTGACTTTATTCCTCCCCTGTTCTACTTTTAGAGTCTCAATAAACTCTTATTTCTTATAGTGGAAAAATGCATTTATAAATCAAGACTGCGCACTGAATTTGCTCATTGCCGCTCAGGTGTTGTTGCTCCCATGTCCAGTTGCTCCCAGTGAGCCACTCTATTGGAGTTGGTCCCACAGCCAAGACCCTACTCTTCCCTAGCTCTAGCCTAGAAACTTGTCACCAGAGCATTAATCTACATTTTAGAGAGGATTGTCTACCAAAAAGAACTGCATCATTTTTCCTGAATAAATAATATGTTCTAGAATCAGTGTGTGATCCTATCAGCTTCCTTGTTGGAAACCAAATGATGGTTCTCCTGGAGAAAGAATTCAACTAAATGTTGAAACAATTTAGGCTGTACAATAGAGTCATACTTGACAAAAGAGTTAGATTTTGAAATCAGCATATAAGGTAAGAAGTACCTAATGTCAAATTTGCACTTGAAAAAAAAATTCCTAAACTGTGTACACTTCACATTAAACCATGATTTTGCAGATCCATTCCTATACAGCAACATTTATATATAGACGTGCATAGAAAGTATGTGCCATCTTACAATATTTTCAGTATTTTAATTAAGTTGAATTTGAATAAATAAAATACTCACATGCTATAACTCGGCTGTTTTAAGAACACTGCTACCAATTCACTACTATGTTTACGTGATGCCTAAATAGCCAGTCAATGCAGAAAGGTCAGTTAGAAAATGATGCCAATGCTTGTTTTTCTTTCTTTCCATTGAAAGGGTGCCGGTGAGTGTCACGGTCCACACAAACTGGGAGCTGGAGTGGGCATGAAGGCAGTTTGACGGGAGTCAGGGTCTATGGAGGGAGGGCTGCTGAGCAGGGCAGAGACCTGGTAGAATCAGATGCTTGGCTCCTCACAGGGAGTCCACTTTCTTAATGCTGGAGAAGGTACAAACATGGAAAGAGGAAAAGTTGAGGTGAATGATGTGGTATTAGATTGCAGTTGGAAGAGTGGATATATAAGTATATATGACATGTAAATAAACATGGATTTAAGGGTCTGTCTGTATGTATCCATTGAAGGAACCTGGGAGCAACAATGCCTGAGCAGCACTGAGCAAATTTAATGCCTGGTCTTGATTTCTAAATGCATCTTTCCACTGTAAGAAACAAGAGTTTATTGAGACTCTAAAAGTAGAACAAGGGAAGAATAAGGAGCTTTGAACATGTTGGGTCAGAAGGTAAGAAAGTTCTCAGAAAAACGATGAGAACATGACCAAATAATCCAGGAGCCACCTTGAAGGAGCTCCTACTGACCAAATCTGGAAAAACTTAAGCATAAAAATAAGTAATGAGAATAATGGGATTATAATCCACTGCATAAAGAGGAACCCATGAATCCACAATTATATAATAAGTAAATAGGTAAATGGGAAGAAGATAAACAGTTAAGAGATTGGGTAAGAGATTATTTCTTAAATTAGAATGCCAAGTAATAAATACAAAAGGAATTCAAGCAAGACATCAATAAATGCTAAAATTAGTGGATGAAAGTGAGATGAGAAACAGAATTTTACAGAGTTTCAAAGTATCTTTTTACAAAATGTTTAATTACAAAGGGAGAAAAAGTTAATGTTATAGTGGAGAAGCCTAACAGACACTATCTGATGAAGTGATCAAAGTTAACACTCCCAGTAATTGGAAAAATCAATATCATATGTCACTTAATCAAATGCAATGAGAAAAACACAACGTCACTTCTCTAAAATTTATAGCCTGGTTATAATCAAGAGGAAACATCGGACAACAGAAATTTGGAGAACTTCTACTGAATAACTGACCTTCAAACATATCAAGGTCATGAAAGTCAACTAGAGACTGCAGAACTCATTCAGACAAAAAGAAGGTAGAGAGACATGGCAGACAATGGAGTGTAATGTCTTCTCCTGAACTGGACCTTTTTACTATAAAGACATTATGAGAACAACTGGCAAAACTTGAATCGAGTCTCTGGGAGAAGTATATTCAGGAGTCCACAATACTATTCATGCAAATTTATTAAATTCATTCATGCAGATTTTCTGTAAGTTTGAAATTATTTGAAAATGAAAAAAATAAAACAAAACCAACTTTATTCTTATTAATTCTTTTTTTAAGCTCTCACTGCAACTCTAAAGTTATACAAGCCAAGAAAGGAACATTAATGGGAAATTAATGACAGTATCAATAAAATGTAAAAGAAGATCAACTAATTACATAACATCAACCAACCAATTTTTTCAAAACAGGTTTTACTGTTTGGAGTTTCTCTACTCTGCTGGCATCGTGTAGGTACCATCTTTGCTTATTCACATTTTCCCTTCACATAGCCTGTGTACCCATTTTAAACACAGCAGAAGATACTTTGAGAATACCTTCTGCACTACTTTTATCTTTTATTTTCTTTCCTTTTCTTACCTTCCTTCCTACTCTCCTTTATTTTTGGAAGCTGCACTCACCCTACTGGAAGAACCTATTCTGAACATAAAGTAGTTTGCCTCATCCTGCTCATCCTCATGACAAATAGGTTAAGTAGCATCTGGTAAGACAAGAGAAGAGAATAACTACACATTTACCCTTCTGCACCCTCATCTTCTACCCAGCTGTCTCTCCTCCCCCTTCCTCTTCATCACTATTTTCCCCTTCTTTGGACCAGAGATTTAAACTGTTCTTAAAATTTATTAAAGAGAAGTGGACCTCCAGCAAATTTTCTTGCCCCTATAATCTAAAGTATTCAAACTCCTCACTTGAAACATGAAAGAAAATCAGGGTGTAAACGTTCCCCTTTTTAAACTTTTTTATTTTCTCAACCATCTTCCTCTGCATTAAGTCAGGGTTTTGTAACAGTCTGCCACTCTAAACAGCACTTGTCAGGAATGTGTGAAGTTATTAAAAGAGAAAGAACTTTAGAAGATCTAAATTCAAATTACCTTGACTACCATTCTTTAGTAATAAAAGGGGAGGTAGAAAGAAGACAGTAACCACCAGACTGTCTAAAATCTCCGGCAATATTCATCCATCTAAAGCATCTGCGAAACAATGACCCCAAGTTATATTGGGAGAGATATTTTAGCTCTCTTGCCTGAATCTAACTCACAGAAACTTGGGAAATGTCAAAAATCCCTTATTCTAAATGCTTGGGTCAAGAAGTGTTTTGGATTTCAAATTCTGGAATATTTGCATATACATAGTGAGATATTAGGGGTGGGACCCAAGTCTAAACACAAAATTCATTTATGTTTTATATGCCCTTTAGACACCATAGCCTGAAGGTAATTTAATATAATTTTTAATAGTTTTGGGCATGAAACAAAGTTTTGACTGTTTTGACTGTGACCCATTACCTAAAGTCAGGTGTGGAATTTTACACTTGTGACCTGGAGTGCATCATGTTGGCATTCAAATAGTCTTGGATTTTGGAGCGTCAGATTTCAGATTTTTGGATTAAGGATGTTCAACCCGTATTAGATAGCCTGGTGCTTTTCTCCTCATAATCACTCCAATAATTATGAAAGGATAATCATAAAGATGACAACAATTACAACAAAGATGATTTAAAAAATTAAGCCACTTGGCAGCACTATTTGTGGCCTCATGAAAATGATTCCCAATGTCATAATTCCCTCCCAGATTCCCACAATAAAAAACTATTGGAACTAGAACTGCATACCGCACTTACTGGTCATTTCACATGATGCCATGTTCAGGCATAGCTGGTATGAGTGCTGTTTGCTTTCACCAGTGGAGCCATTCTCAGTAAGCTTCATCTCTGTGCTGATGAGAGCCTGGGTCTGTTCTTCTGGCCCAGGATCTTCTCCACGTCTCTCACACGACTGCAGCTCTCCTTTAGATATTCTGTGTACCACAGGAAGGGGCTCAGATGTATTCCCCAATTTAAAGCAATCTCTTTTCAACATGGTAACTAATGCAAGTATTAGACCACAAGGCTTCTCTTTGGAAACTTGTCCAAAGGAGGTTGTCATCTCTGCTATTCATTCATTCATTCATTTATTCAATAAATATTTATTAAGCAACAACTGTGTGCCAGGTACTGTTTTTGGCATAGTGAACAAAACAGATTAAAACTACTAATCTTGTGGAATTTGCATTGTAATAGGGGAAACAGACAAATATTTTAAAAATGAAGTAAAATAGATAGGGAGAAGAACAAGGAGATAAGGAGTGCTGGGCCCAGGAAGAAGGGTTACAATACTAAATATGATAATTAGGGAAGCCCTCAAATTTGAACAAGGATCTGTAGGAAGTGATATGTTGATATCTGGGGAAGAGGGAACAACAAAAGCAAAGGAATTGATACAAGAATGTCGCTGGTATCTGAGATATGGCAAGCAGGTCTAGGTGGCCAGAGTGGAGTAAGATAGGAAAAAAGGAAAAGTAGGTAGGGTTGGAAAAATCATGGGGAGCCAAGACTGAATAAGGTTTTGTAGGCTATTGTAAGTACTTTGACTTCTACTAAATGATGGAAAGCAACTGATAAATGTTGACTTTCAATTGGAAAGAGCCATGAAAGTTGATGGATGGTCAACCTTTGACCTGAAGAATTACATGACCTATTGTAGGTTTCAGAAAAGTCCTTCTGGTAGATTTGATGAAAATTCACTGAAAGATAAAAAAGAGGGTAATTGAAATAATCCATGCAAGAGATGATTGTAGCTTGGATAAGGGTGGTAGTAGAGGGGTCGTGAGAAGTGATTGAGTTTTGCTGAAGGATTATACGTGGCGTGTAGGTGAGAAACCTCAAGGTTGATACCAGGATGTTTGATCTGAGCAGCTAGATGGATGAAGTTGACATTATCGCAGGACAGTTCCCCAAATGGCCCTGGACTCACCTAATTCTCCCCCTTTCTTGTTTATAGTTATCAAGAATAACTGTAGAATGTGCTGGGAATGCAATGTCCTGAGATAAGGAGGAACTGCCTGAAACAGCCTGGACCTTATTCCTGTACTTCCTAGGGAATGTAACATCTCAAGTTAAAGAGGAACTGCCTGGGACAGCCCTGGGATTGTTCCTCTCTCCTGGGAAGGAAGATCACCTCCAAAGCTTATCCACTGAGTCACACTACCCCTGTGGCGGCAGGCTGCCTCTCCAGGTTCCTCAGCTGTGGTGCAACTGAAGCAAGCACAATCAAGACTCCATCTGTTCAAGGCAGCTTTCTCAAACCTTGGGGAACCTACTCACAATGGATCACAGGCTTCTTTTGTTTCTTGCTGCTTATCTGTAAGTAATTAACTTGCTGCATATAATGTGTTGCATATGAGTGTGTTCTGTCTCAGACTCAGGGAATTGGTAACACTGCAGCCGAGGACGCAGTGGACAGAAGTGTTCAGACTCCTGTTCCCTGTGGTTGACGCAGTGATGATAATCTCTGCTGTCCTCCACAGAGTGGAAGTCCTCTCTTGGGATCGGTTATTGGTGAAACCACTTCCCAATTTATTAAGATGGCAAAAGCTTAGGGAGGGGCAAATTTGAGGGGAAGATCAAGATTTTTCTGTCAGTATTGCGAATAGTCAAGAATATGTGGTCCAAGAAGTGATCATTATCTTTGGCATTGTGCAAGTCATTAGTGACCCTCACATGAACAGGCTCAGTGTTGGAGTGTTGGAGGAAAATACCTAACTGAAGAAGGTTCAAGAGTGAATGGAAAAAGAGCAGTAGTACGTGGAGAGTACAGACAAGTATTTCCAGGAGCTTTTCTTTAAAGAGTGATAGAGAAAGGGCCATCACTTTTGGATGGGGGGGAGAGTTAATTATAGTATGTTTGTATGCTAATAGAAGTGATCTACTAATGGGGAAAATCTTGATGCAAGAAAGAAAGGGATTTGTTGGAATCTTGTCCTATAACAGGTGAGAGGGGATGGGTTCTAGAAGAAAAGCATCTTTGTTTGAGGTCAGGCAATTCATCTGTAGGAACCAGTAGGAAGATGGGTACCTGTGGTAGTGGATGTTTGTGAACATTCTTTTCTTTTCCATTGTTTCTATTTTCTCAATAAAGTGGGAAGCAAAAATCAGCTGAGCGAAGATGAGGAAGAAGGTGTTAAAAGTTTGAAGAGAAAAAATGAAAAGGATATACTAATCCAAGGGGATGCGTAAGTAGAACATAGATAATGAAAATGCTGGCCCTTAGGATTGTTGGGCGTAAATGCTCATATGATATTGATGGTCACAAATTTGAACTTTCTCTAAAGCCAATTTTTGCATGTGTGTGCAGGCCTGGAGTAGTTGGAGAGGTGGATTTAATAGGATTGAGGATCAAGCAACTACAACCAGAGAAGAGTGGGACAAGGGAGATAAAGGATATTGGCAGGGGAACAATTATAAACATGGACCATGATCAAAACTGAATTTGAAGGAAAATAGGGATAAGAGGGGTGGAAGGTAAAAAATAGTGAAAATGAGATAGAATTAATAGACTGTAGGTCCCTGTAAAGTTGAAGAAGTATTATTATGCAGTACTCGTTATTGAAATGAGGTCACTATGCTTAAGGCACAGTGAATCCTAGAAAACAGTGGCTTTTGTTTCTCATTAGGCAATACATTCCTCTTTGCTCCAGAATGCAACATACATGCATCCTTTTCTGTACTATTATTTATTAAGAATTCATACTTAATTCCACTGACTGCCACTCAATTTTAATGTACAGTAGGGAATTCCTGTACTATATATTATGAATCCATTCCTTTGAATTTCATTTATAATACTTCATGACTGACACCTGGCTTTCCACCAAGACTCAATTTTCATAGCAAACCTCATCATCATAAGCCCCCAAATTAACAGGATGAGGAGGAAGAATTGGCAGGCTAAAGAAGATGATTATATCAATTAATGCAGAGAAAGCACTTGATAAAATCCAATATTCGTTTGTAATTAAAAACTCTCAACAAGTTAGGAATAGATAGGAATTACTTCAACTTAATGAAGAGTATCTTTAAAAACCTTGAGTATTTTCATCAATTATAACAAATGTACCACTCTGGTGGTGAATGTTGATAAGGAGGGAAGCTATACATGTGTGGGGAAAGGAGATATGTGAGCAATTTCTGTACCTTCTACTCAATTTTCTGTGAGCCTAAACTTGCTGTAAAAAATAAAGTTCATTTTTTTAAAAAACCTACAGCTGTCATTCTTAATGCTGAAAGACAGAATGCTTTTCTCTAAGATAGGGAACAAGGCAAAGATTCAGTTCTCACCACTCCTATTCAACATAATACTAGAAGTTCTAGCCACTGAATTGGGAGCAGGTTGGAAACAGAAAAAGAAAAAAAATAAAAAGCATACAGTTTCAAAAGGAAGAATTAAAATGGTCCTTATGTACAGATGACATGATTGTCTATTTAGCAAATTCCATGGATTATACAACAATAAAACTCCGAGAACCTAAGAAGTGATTTCAGCAAGATCACAGGATATAAGATCAAGATGAAAACCAATGTCATTTCTATATACAGTAAGTCCTCTCTCTCTTAATATCATCAATAGGTTCTTGGAAACTGACTTTAAGCAAAACAACATAAAACTAAACCCAATTTTTCATCATCAAAGTTATAACAAAGTGATGTTGAGCAAAGCTACATTATTTCAGGACCTGCCATACATCATGTCACTTAAAATTACAGTTTCTAAGAACCTACCAATGGCATTAGAGAATTACTGTAGTAACAATAAACATATGAAAACCAAAATTAAAACACATTTACAATCAACCCAAGGAAAACGAAATACTGAGGTATAAACTTAGCAAAAAAGATGTATACTATCTGATGCTGAAAATTGCACATGCTGATGAAAGAAATCAGTGATGACAAATAAACAGAGAGACATACTATAGTCACAAATTGGAAGACAGTGTAGTAACAATGTCAGTTTGCCTCAAAGTAATCTGTAGGTATAAGACAATTCTTATCAAAATTCAAGGAAGTTTTTAGTAGGCATTGGCTAAACTATTCTAAAATTTATATGAAAAGCACAAACCCTAAAATATCTAAGATAATCTAAAAAGAAGAGTAAAGTGAGAGGAATCAGTCTACCTGATATTAAGGTTTATAATACAGTAACAGTAATCAAGACTGTGTGCTATTTGCCAAGGCATGGACTAAGATCAATGGAACAGAATAGAAAACACTGAAATAGTCCCATATAAGTATTTCCAACTGATTGTTTTCCAATCAATTTGTAACAAAAGTGCAAAAGTAATTCAGTGAAGGAAGGATAGCCTTGCAGTAAGTTGTGCTGGAGCAGCGAGCACCCATAGGCAAAAAGAAAAAGAGAACATGAACCTTAACCTCACATCTTATACAAAAATTAATCCAAAATTGATAATAGACTTAAATGTAAAATATAAAACATTTCACAACAATAGAAGAAAGTCTTCAGGATCTAGGACTAGACAAATAATTCTTAGATGATATCAAAAGCATAATTCATTAAAGGAAAAGTTGATAAATTAGACCTCATTAAAATTAAAAACTTCTGTTCTGCAATATGCACTGTTAAGAGGATAAAAAATGTACAGACTGAAAGAAAATATTTGCAAGCCACATAACTGACAAAGGACTAGTATCTAGAATATAAAGAATTTTCAATACTCAGTAGTAAAAGCAAAATAATTCAACTAGAAAATTGATATGAGCAAACATGTTACTGAAGAGGATGTACAGATAGCAAAAATGCATGTAAAAAGATTTCAACTTCATACACCATTAGGGAAATGTGAATTAAGCAACAATTAGCTATCACTATGTTCCAATCAGAATGGTGAAAATGTTTAAAAAATAGTAACACCACCAAATATTGGCCAGGATGTAAAGGAATCGAATCACTCATGCATTGCTAGTAAAAAAATGTAAAGAGGTACAGCCACACTGGGAAACCTTTTCACAGTATTCTAAAAACAAAGCATGGAATTACCATACATCCCAGCAGTTCTACTCATCAGCATTTATCCTGGAGAAATAAAAATTTATGTTTACACTAAAACCTATACATGAATGTTCATAATAGCATTTTTCATAGTAGCCAAAAATTGGAACCATCTCAGATGTCCTACCATGGGTGAATGGTTAAACAAACTATGGTGCATCTATATCTACCATGAAGTAGAACTCAGCAATAAAAAGGAATGAGCTATTCACACACAAAATAACTTGGATGCATCTCCAGGGAATTGTGCTGAATGAAATTTTTAAAAGCCCCAATTCCAAAAGGTTATATACTGTATGATTCAATTTCTGCAATATTTATTAAATGATAAAATTACAGAAGTGGGAAAATGATTAGTGGTTTTCAGGGGGTATATACTGTAAGGGTGAGAGGGCTGGAAGAGTGCAGTTTTATAAGGGCAGCATAAGGGACCCTTATGGTGATGAGACTATTCTGTATCTTGACTCTGTTGGTAGTCACATGAATCTACACGTGTGATAAAATTGCATAGAATTAAACATATATACATACTCAAATGAATGCATGTAAAACTGGTAAAATTTGAATAAGGTAAATGGATCGTAATCAATGTCAATTTTCCAGTTGTGATATTATACTATAGTTATGCAAGATGATATTAGCATTGGGAGAAACTGGGTGATGGATATACAGAATCTTTCTGTATTATTTCTTGTAATTGCATATTTATCTCGATCTCAAAATAAAAGTTAAATAAATAAGAGAGACCAAAAAGTGGCTTTCCAGTGGAGAACTGAGATAATCTGAGCATCTTATGCTCCAAATAGAGAAAGTATGCGGTAAAAATTTAAAAATTATACATCTGTAAATTATATTGAAAGTTACACACCATTTTGGGGAAAAATCAAAGAAGCAAAAACAGCATACACTATTAGTTTTAACGTTAGGCTTTGAGACTATCTCTGGCCTTTTCTCTGGCCGAAGGGAAAGAAATTCTCAGATCTACTCTGAAGCCTTTCTTAGACTGAGAAGCCTCTGATAGCATTTCAAAGCAGCTTAGTGCCAAACATTCTTTGAGCATCCAGTAAGAGTCTGTTTGCAGCTTAACAGAAAGATTTTTTTAAGTTGCCTTTTGACTATACACAATGAGTTCTCTTTTTATCTGGTTCCTGATTACTCTCTGACCTTTATCATACAAAGAAACATCTTTCAGCCTGTTTCAATCTGTACTAAAATTCAGACAAGAGGAAGCATCCTCAAAGTTGGATTATCTGACTCCAAAGCCAGCGTGATCCTCCTACTGCCTTCAGCAGCTTTTCATAGTGTTCAGCCAGAACTGACATTTGTACATTCTACACTGCCAGCCCATAATGGCCTCCCTCATCTCCAAACTTCTATACAAATTATTACCTATACGATACAATAAAAAACACTCATTTTAAGTATAAGTTTAATGCCATGTTGACAAATGAATTCAGCCCTATATGACCATTGTTATAAGTAACAGAACATTTCTATCACCCTACAAAGTTCCCTTGGCCTCTTGCTCTGGTCCCCAGTCCCAGGCAACCATGATTTTGCTTTTTATCACTATAGTTTTGTCTGTTCTAGAATTTTACTTAAGTGAAAGCAAAAAATGAATATTATTTTGTCATCTGGCTTCTTTAAATTCCTCAGCATAATTTTTTATATTTATCCATGCAGTTCTTCTTATCAGTTTATTTTTATTGGTGAGTAGTAGTCCTTTGTTATCTAAGATATATAAGTGGTATTATAGTTTGTTTATTCATTTACCTGTTCTTGGATGTTGAGTCACTACAAGTTTTGGACTATTACAAATAAAGCTAATATGAATATTCATGTATGAGTCTTTGTATGCCATCATATGCTTTCATTTCTCCTGGGTAAATAACTAGAAGTGGAATGACTGGATCTAATAGCAAGTGTGTATTTGTTTAACTTTATAAATACTAGAGTATTTTACATTCCCATCAACAACACATGAGAGTTCCAGTTGCATTCTTGCTAACACTTGCTTATTCTTTTTATTGTAGCCATTCTGGTGTGTGTATAGTTATCTATCATATGGTTCTAAATTACATTTTCTTGATGACTAATAATGTTGCACATCTTTATATGTGCTTACCAGCTTTCATATGTCTTTTTATTTTTTGAGAGTTCTCACTATATTGCCCAGGCTGATCTGAAACTCCAGGGTTCAACCAACCCTCCTGCCTCAGTCTCCAGAGTAACTGGGATTACAGGTAAACTATGCCTAGCTCATATATTGTCTTTTGTGAAGTATATGCTAAAATCTTCTGCTTATTTTTAATTGGGTTGTTTCTCTTCTTATGACTCAGTTTATGTACTATGGATAAAATTCTTTGTCAGGTACACAGATTATTAAAAATTGCCTCCCAATTCAAGGCTTAATTTTTGTTTCACTTATCAATGTCTCTGAAGATCAGTGTTTTCATTTTAGTAAGATCCAATTTATTATTTTTTTAAGTTTTGCTATTAGCTATTTTTGTCTTCTGTGAAAATTTTGCCTATCCCAACATCATGAAGATTATCTCCTATGCTTTTGTCTAGATGTGTTATAGTTACGTCTTTTATATTTAGTGCTAGGATGCATTCTAGTTTTCTTTTGATTCAAAAATAATAATAAAAACCAGAGCTCAACATCCTTTGTCTCCATTAATATAAAACTTATTTTAAGTGAACCTATTAAAGGATCTATGTTTTATTTTAAAAACCAAAGAATTACCAACCGTGTAATAAATAAGAACATTAAGATCTATCAGTGAGGGTTTCAAATATGTAAACTGCTTAGATTTTTAGAAAACTGCCTAGATTTCTCATCTGCCAAGGCAAAGGCATTAACTATAAGAATTCGTACCTTAATTGTGCACTTTTCAAGAATTCCACCTCTGGTTCTGTCTTTGCTCTTGAAATTCTTACAGCTCAATACATTTTGCATAGAAAACATGACAACAGGAGGGTTCAATTGCAATTCTCCCATTTTTCCTGTAGTCAAGAGTTAGAAAAACCACTACACAATCAGTAAATTCTAAAACTGCTCTTTTTGTTCTCCTTTCTCTTCTCTGATGTTCTATTTCCAGTGATTTATCCTCTGAAATGGGTTAGTCTCAGAAAATGTAGGGGGGAATTTCACAATGAGTAAGGAAAAGCATTTTTAATATTG